ATTAAAAAGAGCATCGAAAAAGCAACCCTTAGAACACACTTAAATAAGCGTTTCTAAACGGTTCTCTTTTCATCTTCAATATTATCAAAATTAGAGAACTCCATTCAAAAATACAAGATGCTCGTGTGGTAGTGGCTCGCCACGCATACTAGAAGCAAGATGTTCGGGTGGGACATGCCAGACATCATTTTCTTGCGTTTGGCAAACCCACGCAAAGTCGGTTAACAGCTCAAAAACGGGCTAAAAAGTAGACAGCACCCGGACTTTCCCGGGTGTCACCCCACCCGAGTCCTACCCGAGCTTGAGGCTGCTTAACTTCACAGAGCAGACGGGATATGGTGCTTTCAGCCTAAGATGGCCGTCTACATTTGACTTTGACCGACACACCTATTAGTGTTTATCACTCGTATACATTGGTACAACACATTTACACACTCACATGTCCACATACGTGGCCATAGACTGCACACGATGGCCCCCAATACCCCTTCTGGCCCTCAGAATTGGCTGGGTGGATGGCTACACTTTATATAGTAACAAAACAAAAAGGGGGGTGGTGTGGCGCACTCCAATACAAACGTGTGGCCAGCAGCTCACTCCTACAACGCAGCATACGTATTCTCTCCGATAGGAACCCCACACAGACCGACACCTTCATACACAGCAGTGCAGATAGCCGCCGCACCCCATATTTGCGCATACGCGGCCTGGAAACAATGTTAAACCACCAAAGTGGCCATTTACGACTTGCACAACCATACCTACGCTTCCTATGCGACATGACATGTGCACGTACGCGTCTTAGGCAATATGAACACCTTCGACACCTTCATACATGCACAGCGCGCGCTCCGCTTAAGTACGACACTAACTTGTCATATACATCATGCGTTTCCTCCCGTCACCTTTCATCACCTCCATATTCACACCCATGCGCCGTCACCTTCCTCGCGCCATCACCTTCACCATTTTCACCTCCATATCCGCGCTTCCTCCGCCGTCACCTTCCGCGTACGCGGCCATATTCGCTGCGTTTCCTCGCGCTTCCTGCCTGTTATTAATCCAAGCCAAAAACATCTCCAAACCCATACAATTAGAACAGCAAACAACTTCGCATTTTTTCACAAAGTCCTCAGCTTCATTTTGCATACTTTATCCTAGTCTAATTCCCGCTATTCCGCTCTCTTTAACATACTTAAACTAAGTCTAATTCACGCTACTCTGCTCTCTCTAACATACTTAAACCAAGTCTAATTCGCGCTATTCTGCTCTCTTTAACATACTTAAACCAAGTCTAATTCACGCTATTTCGCTCTCTTTTAACATAGTTAAACCAAGTCTATTTCATGCTATTCCGCTCTCTTTAACATAGTTAAACCAAGTCTTAATTCCCGCCCAATTTCCGCTCATTTTGCTCAATCTTTTTAAACTAGATTAAAACCTCAAACTCATTTCACGGTCATTTCGCTCTCTCTTTAACATACTTAAACCAAGTCTAAATCACGCTATTCGCTCTCTTTTAACATACTTAAACCAAGTCTATTCATGCTATTCCGCTCGTTTTAACATAGTTAAACCAAGTCTATTTTATGCTATTCCGCTCTCTTTAACATAGTTAAACCAAGTCTAATTTACGCTATTTCGCTCTCTTTTAACATAGTTAAACCAAGTCTAATTTACGCTATTTCGCTCTCTTTTAACATACTTAAACCAAGTCTATTTTATGCTATTCCGCTCTCTTTAACATAGTTAAACCAAGTCTAATTCATGCTATTCCGCTTTTTTTTAACATAGTTAAACCAGGTCTAATTCACGCTATTCGCTCTCTTTTAACATACTTAAACCAAGTCTAATTTTACGCCCTGCCGTCTAGCTTGCCCTGTTAAACCCCCATACTAAAATCTCCGATTTTGGCTCAGAAATCATTAGCGCTGGCACTTAGCGATTTTCACGCAAAGTGTTTCTCGCTTTCTGCCTGTTATAAACCCGATACTAAGGTCGCCGAATTTGGCTCGGAAAACAATAGCAGCGGCACTTAGCGATTTTTGCGAACAAACCTCACTAAGCCAAAACAAAGACTTTGACGATCTTAAGCTTAACAGTATTAACTCTCTACCAGCACTTTGACCGGTTACTTTCGCCGCCCCATAGCGAAAGTAAATCACTTTAACGCAGCCTTATTTCGACTGCTTAACTTTATAGTTTTAACATTGCGCGTTTGCAATTGGGGGGAGAAATGTTCATTTCTGAACAAATCAATAGAACAAGGGCTAAATCTCAGCAGATCGTAGTACAAGACTACTCTCATGCTTACAACACCCCGTTCTGTAGTTAAGTCGTCTACAAAGGATTTATCTTTCCCAATATTTGAAATTACAAATCAGCCTACTCTCCACCGCCAGTACTTGACAGGCAGCGGAGTGCGTTGCAATTGTATGATGTTGGGTGTCCAGAAGACACCTATCGCTATTCGCGGCACATCGGGAAAGGTGATTATCGTCTATATCCGAGCATGGATTCTGACTTAGAGGCGTTCA